TCTGTCTGTCTGTCTGTCTGTCTGTCTGTCTGTCTGTCTGTCTGTCTGTCTGTCTCTCTCTCACACACACACACATGGACATACACACGTACACGCAAATACACACACAACACACACACATGCACATGCACACGCACACACAAACACACACAAACCCACACACGCGCACAAACACAGCTTTACACAGCTGCTCTTTGTTGACATACATAATACTGCTAAATTGACAGGACTAATTAATTGACATGGTCATCTATGTACATGCACACACTCTTTTTGCCTTTTCTGCCCTTGTCATAATAACTAGAGATCACCTATTAAACCAAATCTACTCAAGACATTCCCCAAAATAGTGTTTAATTTTAAAAAAAATAAAAATCTTAGTGAAGGAATTCTTAGGTGACAAAGTCCAACCCCTATCAGTAGTGTTGTGGTCGCGTGGGAGAGAAAGGACACAGAAAATCTGGAGTAATTATGTTGCCATAATCTCTTTAACAAACGGAAAATTCCTCGAACAGCTGGCTTTTCCAGTGGGCTTGTGATACAAAACAAGCCACGGCTAATCACGAAAACTAAACAGGAAAACTTTCCCTCTCATGTTCAGTTTTTACATCATAACAAGAGGCTCCTCAAGTCCAAATTTAGAGAATTTTCGATGTTTACACTCTCCAAAGCTCTACCAAAGATGCACCTTTCAACATCACCGTTATGCAGTTTTGTGCTATGGTCAAAACTTCTATTTTCTTGCTTTTCGTGATTCGTGGTAACTACAACGCAACAAAAACCTTTTTTCTTGTATCTAGTGTAAAAAGTACCCAAACGGACTTAAATGTGGCCCGATGTGGTGGTATCAGGCGCTCGTCAGTTTTTGTGCGTATGAGGTTATTGTTATCACCTTAATGCCAGTTCTTTTTTCCTCCCTTTTGGTGAAAAAAAAAAATACCCATCTATGTTGAACAGAAGTCGAAATATTTGCGATTGAGCGAGGTCAGGTCGCCTGATTTTAGAGGTAAAATTAGCGAGAAAATGGCCGCCAAAGTTTGGTAACTTCCATAGCCTGGGAGTCTTTGGAAACTGAAAATTTACATTTTTTGTGCCTTTTTTCAATGTTTCTCAGTAAAATCCACACAAAAATGTGATTTTAAATGGACGTTAAACGTGCTAAAGCAAAAAAAGTTATTAAAAATGCCCAACTACCAAAAAACAAGTTTCTTTGACTTCATTATTTTGACGAGCGTTTGATTTCCCCACGATGCTTCACAAATGGATTGCTTGCGATGCCGATGTTTCTCTTTCATTTTCAGTTTCACATTAACATTAGCTGGCTACTGTGGTCTAGTTAGATATACAGGCATAAACATTCCACATTTATTGATCCTTATGGGGACATTTGATTTACAATGGCCTACCACACATGATATTATACATTCTTCCATGAATGAATGCGACGTACAATAAAACATAATAAATGTTATCCGAGTTAGATGACAGGTTATAGCAAACCAATGTAAAAAATAAAAACACTTTGCTGGTTGCCACTATGCAGTGCCTCGTTTTTTTGGCTAGGGTAATCGTGTCTTGTTCATTTACACATCCCCATGATTGCTCATTTTAATTAACTGGTCCAACATAATTTATGACTGTTATTCATTGTGAGCTTCAGATCATTCACTACTTGACCACCGGAGTTAAACACCAGAACATCACCCGAACGTACCTTATTGTAGTCTACCTATTCTTTGGGAGAGCAAAATGTAAAGAGTCACAGGTTACTGAACTAACACGGCTTAATAATTGCAGCACCTTTCAAACAAACGAAAATTTTATTCAACGTTATCAGTATTGGTATTGTTGGTTGACAAAATATTTATTCAGTAGTGCAGCGAATGCAAAAGTTAATCACAAGTACACCACTCGAACTAAGAGACATTTTCAAGCGAGTTGGCCTGTACAGTAAGCGGCGATATAACATAACTTGCTAGGATTAAACCGAGTTATTGATTTTTTAAAGGGACATTTCTATCTCTACAAAAGAAAAAAAAGAAGTCTGGCTTTATTACAAAACGTGTTAGAGTCCACTCTAGTGCCATCTCTCAACCCATCAGAGCGTTTTGATCTGTTGGCTTGGTGGAGCGTTTTTTTTAATGGGGGTGGGGTGGGGGGTGGGGGGCATACAGACGTTGCAGTACCTTCGAGGCACACCTGTCAAATTTACACCACTCTGTTATACCTCTTGAGTGTCCTCATTTTCCCCCTCGGCGACGCTTGTGCTTTTAAAAATATTTTTCTTGGGCCTGACTACGACAATTTAATCATAGAGGCACGTGCGATTGATCTGAAGTAAACCAAAGGGGAAATGTGAATATAATAGTAAGTTTAACAATATTAAATGACGATAGGAGGAAAGTGATAAGCAGAGAAACAAGCGAAGAAAACACACCCTTTCTTTGTCCTTTACGATGTTATTCCAACAATGACACGCGTAGGCCTACAGAGGCATGTTGTTTTTCTAAGATTAAGTTCAGAGTCACAGCACCGCTAACGATCGGAAAGGGCTTTCAGGCTTGTGTGCATTAAATTGGGTCATTTTGTTGTTGAGGGTCAATATTTAATGGATATAAAAATTAAAAGTTTATAGCTAGGCTACTTCTTTTTTCTCGAACCTTGAAAAATGTCTGTTGTTGTTATCTTACGAGATGTTATCGTTAAGATAAGATAAGCTAAAGTAACAAAAGTATTGATAAGATACGCATTACTTACCCTATTGAAGGGCCTCTCGTGGCAAAAAGGATAAGGTGCGTGTTTCTTATTCAATAGGTGCCGGGTTAGGGTTCGGATAGCGACGGAAATTTTTCTTCTCTTCAATTGTCTCCTTTCATCTCATTTCCTACCCTCTACAATATTCTGTCATCTGCTTTCGCCTCCACTTTCTGCCCTCACCCCCTCTCCTCCTTTGCCTCCTCCTCTCGGCTCCTGACTCTTTCTGCAGCTTTTCTACTGCTCCTCCCTGGCTCCTTACTGATGTCTTTCAGTCACACCCCTGATTTTATGGAAGGAAAAATTTACACCAAGCCTACTCGGACACAGGCGAAAAATCTCGAAGGTCCCATTTGCAAGTTGTGCATATTAAAGATCCCTTGGTTGTCTAAAATCGATAAGAGTAGGCTTCGGCCGCCGGACGGACAAATTTCAAAATTTCCGACCAACTGAAAACATTCAATGTGTCCCGCGAGCTCGTATGACCATATGCAATTGCGAGGGCTGATAAAACACTTACAAAAACAAAACATACCTTATTGACCTCCCATCGGAAGATATTGACAGGTTTTTTTTCTCTATAGCCCCTGCGACACAAAATGTACAAACATTGATTAAAAAAACCCAGGATGCATTAAAAAAACAAGCACGCACATATTTAACGCACACACACACACACAC